TCTATTCTCTCAAGAACCCTGGGAAGAAGATCTTTTTCTTCCTTTTCCCCATAGCTGAGAGTCAGAGCTCAGCAATCTAAAATGGCATGCTTAGGAACTTCTGAACTTGGAAGTTCACCAGAAACTCCTGATCTCCAAACCTGACCCCACCTGCTCTCATCTCAGGGAGCTTCATTTCCACTGTTTGCCCAGCACTCAGGGAAGAGACCAAGGGCTCTCAGGAGCCCTCTCCTCCCCTCCAATTCATCACTAGGTCTCATGAGTTTTGCCTCCAAGAGACACACAAGGCCTACCCCTACTTTCCCTGTCACAGCCACCTGCAAGGTTACAAGGACAACTGCAGTGTCTTGTGCCCTGGCCTTCTGCCTCTCCCTGAAGCCCCCTACATTCTGCACAGAGCTGCCTGAGGGACTTCAAAACTGCAAATCAGCTGCTCACGGCGGTAAAATTCAAAATACTGACCGTGGCCTGAAAGGCTGCTCCCAGCCTCATCTCCTGCCCTCTCTCAGGGTCCCTCACCTTCAGCCTTCTGGAGTGAATCAAGACCACCTTTCTCAGAGCCTTGTCCCCATACTGCACCCTCTGGTTTCAGCCAAGGCCCTTCCTCAGAGAATACTATTGGGAACAGTCCCTTACAGTCCTGACCCCTGTCCCATAGCCCCTGTCCCCTTAGTCAGAGCCTTTCTGCCATTTGGGGGATGCGCTTATTTATTTACTTTTGAGGTCTCAAGTTTCTTAGGGGCAGGATCCCCATACCCAGTGCCTGGCCCTAGGCACTTAATCAATAATGATTGTGGGAGTGGGGGAACGGGGCGAGAGAAGCAAACCATCCTGCAAAGTAGGTATTAACCTCCCTGCTTTAGGGATGGTACTAGAGACTTTCTTCCTACAGGCTACTCATCTTGTGCCGGCTCTTTTTGAGTTTTTGAAGGCTCAGGGTACCCTAGTGCATGAGGGCAAGGCATGGACAGCAGAACCTACCTGTAGAGAACAGGGTTTTCCATATTCCAGTCATTGGGGAGGCCATGCATCCACCTCTGCTGTCGGGGAGACATCACCTCCCCTTCAGGAGCCTCCACCTTCCTCATCATGGGCATCCTGCCACTCTTCAGGGTCACAGCATGCTCTGCAGCCCGCTTCCTGGTGGCTGCCAGGGAGTGGACCAGCTGCACCTGAATCCAGGGAAGACCAGGGATGGGGAAGTGGTCAGAGCTGCTGACTCCCAGCACTCTCAGGCTGATGGTGGCTGTCTAGAAAGACATCTGGAGGGCTTCCCCCGGGAAGGCACTTTTGAGGAAGGCCTTCAACCCCAGGGCCCTCCCCACAGGAGAGCGCTCCTCCCTGTCACAGTCACTCCACCACTTCAACGAAGGCCTGTTTTTAAGAAACTTAAACAAAGATTGAGATGAACATCTCAGCCTTTTTTATAATCACAAGAAATTGGAAAAACAGAACTGACTAATAGTAGGGATTGGCTGAGTAAACATGGCATGTCCCTTTGATGGAACGTTAGGCATTTATTAAAGATGAGACATGTGAAGACTTTTTTATGACCTGAGGAAATGCTTAGGAGATGATATATGGTTAAACATATCACTTAAAAGCATATATTAAAAATTATAACCAAAATTATACAGTATGATCTCAAAATTTAAAATGCATAGAAAAAGGCCCTGGATGAAGGGTGCCAAGAGTTAAGAATGGGCTTACAGCCGGGCGCGGTGGCTCACGCCTATAATCCCAGCACTTTGGGAGGCTGAGGCGGGTGGATCACGAGGTCAAGAGATCGAGACCATCCTGGTCAACATGGTGAAACCCCGTCTCTACTAAAAATACAAAACATTAGCTGGGCATGGTGGCACGTGCCTGTAATCCCAGCTACTCAGGAGGCTGAGGCAGGAGAATTGCCTGAACCCAGGAGGCGGAGGTTGCGGTGAGCCGAGATCGTGCCATTGCACTCCAGCCTGGGTAACAAGAGCAAAACCCAAAAAAAAAAAAAAAAAAAAAAAAAAAAAAAAAAAAAAAAAAAAAAAAAAAAAAAAAAAAAAAAAGAATGGGCTTACAGACAGCAGGATCGTGTGAGTGATGTAATTGGTTTTTGGTCTCTTTATACTTATATAATTTGCAGAGGTTCTACAGAAAATTATTTAGGGCTCAAATGAGGAATGCAAATCCCTTTTAAATAAGCAGTACAGAACTTCAAAGGAAGGATTCGGGTCTGTGTGTTTCTTTTAAGATCTTGTTTTGTCTATACAGTGCTTTAGAGAGGACAAGGCAGTTTTAACAACCTGCACTGTTGTCAAGAGGGCTTTATTTTAATATAGTTATGGGAGTCCTAGATCAATGAGCAGGCAGCCACTCAGCATGGTGAAATACATGGGTACCCATGGGCGTGGAAAAGGATCTGTGAGATACTGTTACGGAGAAAAAGCAGATTTCAAAATACTAATCCAGAATAAAACCTATTTTTTACATACAAAAATTAGACATGCTTTTACGCATGGGAAAAAGACAGAGGTCACCCAGTGGTTCCATCCGGGCTATTTCTGAGTAATTTACATTTAAAATTATAATTTAGGTTTTCGAATTTTCAAGAAATGACATTCTAATTTTGTATTGGTACAATTTAAGAACCAGTAAGAATTATTTTAAAAATCAAAGTAATCTCAAAGCCCTTGTTTTATTCAGTTTCCAGTAGGGAAGTCCTTGGAGGGAGGGAGGGAGGTTTGGGAGAAAGCAAGGGAAAGGGGATGGAGTCAGGAGAACAGAGGGCGGGCCCTACCTCTGCCTGGAAGATCTGCTGGTAGGCTTTCCCATTCGGAACCTGGGTCACCTTCCCCACTGACGACATCTTGGCTGATGACTGGATGTCCTTGCTGGGAAGCCGTCGTCCAGGAAACACGTCTGGCGTCTCAACTCCAACTTCTGAGGCTGGGAAACCGCCTGACCCTAGCTCAGGTTCAGGTCCAGGCGGGACGACGTCTGGCCTCGAGGGGGCACCCCAGGGCAGGACTCCCGGGGAGGGACCCTCTGCGGGGGGGTTGAGGGGGCGGGGCCCGTAACTCAGGGTTTTAACTTTTAACAAAACAATGAAAGTAACCTCAGATGAGCCCCGAACTCGAGGAGGAGTCCGGTTCTCCCCGCCGTGCAGGGCGCAAATCCGAAGGGACTTTGGGAACGTGAATAATACAGGATTATTGTTTGTGCCTCACTCTGCCATGCTCTTCCGGGACAAGTCAACAGCGCTCAAGGTGTCAGTTAGGCCTGGAACCCCAGCGCAGCACTGAACTTGCATCCGTGACCCTAACCCACCCTCCATGGGACACTGGGAGGGCGAATAGGAGGGAGAATGGCCTGATTCACGCTAACTAGGCGCCTATTGGGTGCTGAGAAGACTCAGTCAGCCTCTCCCATCCTCCTCCTTAGCTCCCCGGGTAGACTAAGCAGCCCCTGGACGTCCCCCTGAGCCCGGCAGATTGGAGGGAGGTCTTGCGCCTTGCTTGGCCGCGTCCCCGCCTGTAGAAAGCACCTCTCCAGGCAGCCAGGGCCGATCCAGCAACTGCAGCTGGACGCCCATGGTCTCCAAAGCAACGCGGAGGGGAGGGACTGTGCCGGCCCCGCCCATGCTATTCTTCCCAGGGAAGGGAGGTTGCCCTTAGCAATGGGAGCGCCCCATACAGAGTAGTGAAACTCAACTACTTCCTTCAATGCCGGTTTCTCCTCTCTACAAGGACTCCAACTCCAGGGCTGCCAGGAGCGGCACAATTAAATGTTCTGAAAGGTGGTAGGATATATGAGATGTAGCATTGAGCCATCATGATCCACAAAGTCCATCCTATCTTATTTGCCTTGGCTAAAACCAATCTCTGCTGGGAGACAGCACCCGGTAATGTTTGCCTGTAAGAAAGAAGCTGAAAGACTCTGGAAGAGACTATCTCTTTCTCAGTTTAAAAGAGGTTGAGAGCTCAGAATTCAGGATCAAGGCTTGCCTGGCCAGAGATGAAAATGCTTGTAGTTGGCACTAGACATGGCCTAGGGTTTCCCATATATATGAGACACCAGCGCCTTCTCAGAGAATCCCTCCCTTTGGCAGTGATATGTTACAATTGCTACTAAATGCTCCCTTTGCCAATTTTCTAGAATCAGTGATTGTTCTGTCCAGACTAGAATCAGAAATTAAGAAATGGTGAGTATAAAACCCTTTCATTCTCATTCTTTGGTCCTGGTATTATTAACAAGGGGAAGTACTATAACAATTATTAGATTCATTTTATCTGGAAAAAGAAAATGACCACCATAAGAGCAAATATTTAAAGAGAAGATTTAATACCTACAATAACAATAAGAGGGGTACCTTAATTTACCCATTTTTAAGATTAAGAAACTGAAGTTCAGAGTCAGTAACTTGGCCAAGATCTTCAAGACAGGAAGATCTAGGATATGAATCTAGACCCTGTAATTCGAGTCTTGAACCATCTGACCTGTGACTAACCAGAAAAAAAGTTATTTAACCAACTGATTGGATGTGCATATTGAAGCATAGCAAACATATCTAAAAGTATGAAAATCATTTATATAGCTCAATGAATTATCTGAAAGAAATGTGCCCAGTACCCAGTACCCAGTACCCATAAGAAATAAAGCATTACTAACTCTCTAGAAGCCCCTTTTGTGTACCTGTCCCAAGTCATTGCCCTCTCTCCCCCCAGGAGAACAAATATTCTAACTTCTGAATTAGTTTTGCTTCTTTAAAATTTTTATTTAAATGGAACCATACAGAATGGACTCTTTTGGGCTTATTTCATTATGTTTGTAAGTTTTATACTTTTTTT